TCACCGATAGATGATTGGCCAGTATTCCCCCATAGTTGACGATCGCCCTGTTGTGGCTACTATTTCCGACGATGGACTACTGCACGATTTCGAAAACTCGGAACAGCAAACAAACTGTTCCAGCGCTCGACCAGACTTCTTTTCTTATAATTACAGTAAGTGGGCTAACTCATGAAATCTCAACAGATATGTCGAAATGCGTTTCCGTTTCGAAAAGATTAATTAAGAAGGGTTGTAAAACTAATCATCATGCAGCATAATTCTACAATAATTCAGTTACCTCAGGACGCCGGCTTTCGAACAAACGTCTTTCCGGCTGCATTCAAAAACCATACATCGTAAAAAATGACTGCTTAACTAGCATGCATTTTTTCATTGATTTTCGATGCCCTTAAATATTCAATCATATTTCATAAAAAAATGCATAAACATATGCATTCTTCTGCTGATTCAGTAGAAAATTATGTCTCCTTCCAATGTTATACTCGGAGGAAGGGTATAATTTGGTTTTATAAAACTTTTCCAAATCCTGAATAATTTTGAACCCCACCTGCCGTCACACTTGCATTCAGGGTTCTAAAACTAGAAGCCGTATAATTTCCGCGTACGGAAAACCATACATTTCGCTACCATACTAAGAGGAAGCCATATGGGGTTCATAAAATTAAGCATCGGCAAATGCAGAGACATGTCGTTTTATGAACGGCCATTTCACGGTATTAAAAAATCTCATAATTAGAAACTTTTTAAAACCGAATTATACCCTTCCTTTGAGTATAAAATTGAAAGAAGAAGTAATTTTCTATCAAATGAGCAAACGAATGAATATTTTCATGCATGTTTTGCATGAAATATAGTTGAATCTTTAAGGGCATCGAAAATCAATGAAAAAAATACAAGCTACTTAAATAGTCATTTTTACGAAGTATGGTTTTTGGATGCAGCCGGAAAGATGTTTGTTCGAAAGCCGGAATCCTGGGGTAACTGAATTATTATAGAATTATGTTGCATAATGATTAGTTTTACAACCCTGCTTAATGAATCTTTTCGAAACGGAAGTGCATTTCGGAATTTCTGTTGAGATTTCATGAATTAGCCCACCTGGTGTATGTCTCCATAAACATAGCCGTCTGCAGAGATTGTAGGTAGAATCAACAAACCTGCAGGCATTATGCAACAGCAATATTTACGGGAAAGTGCCAAACATTTTGCCAATATAACCGGTCAAAATCCAGATATTCCAAAGTTCAAAATCAAGGAAAAAGTAAGAACCGACTGAAGTATCAGGTACTGTCGACACGGATAAAACTGGAGTTTCAGGAAACGGTTTGAAAAGACGTCACTCGACTGCGAAAACAGGAATTTTAGTCGTCCTCATTTCCAGATTCGCTTTCGAACCCTGCACCAAGGACAGCATCAAGTACTCGTGGCGGACTTTTTTCGTAGCAGTGATCAGTGGTCCATTGTCATGCCAACCTACCTGTCATATTAAGTCGGACGAACAGTAGGTGGGCTAACTCATGAAATGTCAACCGAAATTCTGAAATGCATTTTCGTTTCGAAAAGATTAATTAAATGGGTTTGTAAAACTAATCAGCCTGCAGTATAATTCTATAATAATTCAGTTACATCAGGATGTCGACTTTCGAACGGACTTCTTTCCGGCTGCATACAAAAACTATGTTCTGTAAAAAGGACTACTTATTTAGTATGCATTTTTCAAGTTGAACTTTCGATGCCCCCAAAGATTCAATTACATTTCATGGAAAACATATATAAAAATATTCATTCTCTCGCTCATTTTCAGAAAATTACGTCTTCTTCCAATTTTATATACGAAGGAAGGGTATAATTCGGAGTTAAAAAAGTTTCTAATTGTGAGATCTTTTAATACCGTGAAATGTTCGTTCATAAATCGTCACGTCCCTGCATTTACCACTGTGGCCTGTAAAGTTAACAATATGGCTCAAATCCACTGCTAAATTTTATGAACCCCACACTGTGTCCTCGTAATACCGTAGAGAAATGTATGGTTTTTCGTACGCGGAAAATATACGACTGGTTGTTTGGAAACCTGAATGCAAGTGTAGCAGTAGGCGGGCCTCAAAATTATTCGGGAATTGGAGAAGTTTTTGGAAACCTAATTATACCCTTCCTTCTTATATAAAATTGGGAGAAGACGTAATTTTCTACCGAATGATTGAGAGAATAAATATTTTTATGCATGTTTTCCATGAAATATAATTCAATCTTTGAGGGCATCGAAAATCAATAAGAAAAATGAATGCCAAATAAATAGTCATTTTTACAGAGTTTAGTTTCTGCATGCAGCCTGAAAGAAGTCTGTTAGAAAGCCGGCATCCTGAGGTAACTGAATTATTATAGAGTTATGCTGCAAGATGATTAATTTGGCAACCCTTCTTAGCTAATCTTCTCGAAACGAAAACGCATTTCGGAATTTCGGCTGACATTTCATGAGTTAGCCCGCCTACTGTAGGTCCCAGCTAAACCGTTTGCAACCGTCCTCAGTCCAGCGTGCAGTGGCCAGTTCTTGCCGTTCTGGGGTAATCACTTTCAGCGATACCTCATGTAGGTGGACGGGCGCTTAGCATGGTTGGAGGGAGGGGGTGAATGCGTTACTGAGTACGACCGGCATTACTTATGGTCTGTCTGTCTGTGGTCTTCAAACGGGCCACATGGTAGATGTGCTGGAGCAGTACGGGAGCCACATCGGATTGCGCACCATAGCAAATGCCGACATTCGGCGTAACGTGGCAGGCACAGCTGCTGACTCATGTCGCGCAGATTGAGATCCCTGTCGCCTCCCCTCCCAATTGTTGTTGTTGGTCAAAAAACCCGGTCATTTTCTGTGTGGACCAGGGGGCGTGGAGTGGAGCGCCAAGGTGCGGGCTCGACCGTGCCATCCATCTGCGCCCTACCCCTCCTCCGGTCTTCTTGACTCTGTCTTGACACCGGGTCCAGGTGGGGGAGAGAGTGCGGTAGATGCTGTGCAAGTCTACTGTCACTGGAAACTAAATCACGCACAAGTTACCGTTCCTGCTTCACCTACCTGTGTAGCACACGGTAGACATCGTCGGAAACGACGGTCGAACCATCACGTTCTGTCTGCCTACCTTGTCTCTGCGTTCACCCACAAGCGGCGCCGTCGTTGGATCCACGGAATCTCCTTCTTAACGTTGATAAATTGAATCAACAACTATATCTCAGGCCATCCACGGACAGGAAATTCGCATAGGCGGATGATCCTCCGATGTACCCGGAATTCGTGATCCCTTGGTCAAAGATCATGTTCATTCATCTCTCGAGCTATCAGCACGAGATTACCGACGTGTACGTGGACAGGGAGGGACCCATGCGTCTAAAGGCACATCTGAGGGGTTATAATTCTGTGAATCGGCGGGCCAACCGCCGCATGCATGACCCGTAAGGTGAGTGCAGAATAGTGGATTGCGTATTAGTTAGTCTTTAGTCAGACAGACTTGCATTGCGCCTATCGCGCCCTATCCCTCCTCGCCCACTTGGGTCCGATGTCAAATCGGACAGAGGCGGGCTCGGACGCAGTGTATGACAGAAGTAAGCAGTCCACGCGTTCCATACGCGACGCGGCCCCTACGACATGTACCACTTACACGGGAGCAGCGGCTCAGTGCATGGAGGACACATGCGTAAGTTGCCATTAAGCCTGACTCAATCCGCCAGTTAGTAACTCCACACAATACCGACACCGGTCAGTTGGCAACCCTGCAAGCCATGGTTTTTAACACGTTCTAGTAGACTCGGACGCGTCAGATTTATTACAGTGAAGAAAGTACATTATAAGAAGGCAAATGCCGTGTGAGAAACGACGGGATTTTAAGCCAGAAATGTGACAGACAACACCTCGCCATAGAACACCGGTTCAGAATTCTACCACAGGGGCGTGATCTGAGAACAATGCGTCAAGATCGGTTCTCAGGATATACCATGGAAGAAATCCTAGTCGGTGAACCAGTAGAATCGCACCTTTGGTGACAAAGGTCGTGTCATAACGTATCTCCAGGATGGAGGTCGCTGTTCCTCTTTTTACTACAACGGGGAGTCCGATCTAGGGGATCCCTAACGCTGTCCACAAGGTTAAATTCCGGCAAACTTGATCCTCAGCCACATCTGTAGATTTGTTTGGCCTTTTCCCAGTATCCTATAAGTAAGCGGTTTGTCAGTAGTCGTACTCAATCTCCGGGCTAGATGGTCCTAGAGCAAGGCTCCCAGCACTGCACTAGGGGGATCGCGTCATATCGGCTTAGATCGGGAGTATTTTGTAACATGGGATTGGTGTGTACCGGCCTGTATTGCAGGACACGAGTAAGCATTTCCGCCTCGCCTCGGAGCGAAGGATCTACAGCCCGCGCGGGCGACTAGCAACCAGTAAGAGATGTAATACCGACAAAGTCGGAAACAATGAACTGGCCGTTTCTGGTAGGTCTATCGTCACCAGTTAGTCGTATCTCAACCCCCGGTGTTGGCACAGTTTTAGCTGAAACTGCAAAACCCTTGAACTCCCCTCTCCCCGTCCGCACTTAATTCTACGGTCGAGTAAGAGCGAAGGCAGAGTCAAGAGCTAACGTACAAATATATCAAACGTCAAAATGGAATATAAGGTACACAAAAAGGCACATGCATGGTAAATAAAGGCGGCGTATAAATGCACTTCCTGCGCAAAGCGCACACAACGGTGTCAGGGTTGTAAAGCATAATACGCAGGTTAAAGTGGTGTCAGTAAGGAATGTCAATTGTGAAAAAGTCAGTCGGACCAAGCTTCCAGACTCGAGTTCAGCGACGACTGGGGAGGGGATAGCCAGCAAAGCAGAGGACAGCTCTCAGAGCCAAATCTCAAATATCAAAGGAGGTAAGGAGGGGGAGGTGGACCTGCCTCCAGCTGAGAATAAAAAAGGAATGTAAAATGCAATTAAGGCAGACTAGAACATGCCCGCACACAGGCACTACCGACTGCTAACGCCGGTGGAGAGACAAAGGTTCTCCGGTTTGTTCTGCAGCAGGCTAACTATGTGCTTCTCAATGACGCGCTGGCTAGCGCGGGAATACCGACGCACCGCAAACTGCAGCGCATTCCAGCCATCGGCATTCACAGCGGTCACGTCGGCGCCCCAATCCAGCAGGAGGGAGACAATGGCAACGTGGTTATAGTAGGCGGCGAACATGAGGGCGCTGTTGCACAACTCGTCGGTGATGTTGACCGGCACTCCGGCACGCAGGAGGTAGAGCACCACGTCAAAGTGACCTCGACAACTGGCCAGCAGGAGACCGTTCTCACCGTTGTCGCCGGTGAGCAGGGGGTTGGCGCCGTGAAAGAGGAGCAATTCGACAGCTGCCTTCTGCCCGTTTGCGCAGGCCCACAGCAGTGGGGAGAAGCCCTGCAGCAGGAGAAAAGTCATGCAAGTCAGGGGAAACTTCAAGGCTTCGGACACTGAACGCCATAAGGAGACGGGCATACAACACAGACCAGCTGCTTTAGACTGTCTGTGTTCAAGAAGCGCCATAGGAGGTTGTTAGGGGTGTGTGAAGAGTGTCTGTCACATCAAGCCCACGCGTGATGCGAGGAAAAATGGAGCAGTTAGATAGTGGGGGTTCGCTATGAAAGTTGCAATGTCAATTACGTGGGGTTGCACGCATTGGACGGTCTGGATTGGGGATATTAATCTGATCGTCCATAGCTCGAAACCAGTATTTCAAAACTGACTGGAGAATAACACAGGCGTGCGGTAAGCGTCAGACCGAAGCCTGGGTTGGACTCGTTCCCGGTGTACGATTGGACCATACGTCTACTTGGCCCACTAGAAGAGGTCTGATGCTTATGAACTACCACTCAGGTTAAAATAAGACCTGGATAACTGCCACCTGACGGGATAATTCGATCCTCCAGCGGAGTTTAGGTCAGGTTGAAATGGTGGTCTCTGTGGCAAGTCGATCCGATGGAGGACCGGAGACCCGGGTGGGGACAAACACGTTCGTGACACGAGTGGATTTGGATCCAACCTGCAACCACTGTGAAACAGACGGAGAGGGATGGACCAGGTTTTTTTCCTATTCTCAGTCATGAGCCTCTGGAAATGCCAAAGTCACTGATAAGTTCACAGTGTGGTGCGTATCTAATAAATGTCTAAATTGCTCGTCCGACTATACAAGGGCGTCTGATGTAACTGACGGTTCTCAAAGAGAAATCCACCTCGAACAGTATTACTTCAATAATTTCCTTTTCTTGTGCCAAGAGTCCGGCCCTTCAGACCGAGTATATAAAGGAAAAATTATCTTCAAAGTTTTGTGAAATAAGCACGCCCGAAAAATGACAACTTCGGCTGACAGGTCGCCTACACCTGGTGGCATTTATCGGTGCGTAAATCCTCGATTTTCGTCACACTCTGCAAACTCGGCCTTGTCGAGTAACTGGTGGAACTTTTCGACTTGGATAACCTCACACGGTATCAGTAAGCTCCCTCGACCTTGGGCCGCGCGGATGTTTTTGGTTCGGCAGTTAATAATAGGTCTTGCCTAAGTTTCTGTTGTTAACCGAAGCATGTTTGCCCAGACAAAGAGGAGACGCAGTGTAACTACCATCAGCAGGCCTTGGTTTTACGAAGGTATTGCCTACTTCTGACGGATTCACTCCCCAGACTCTAGACTTCGCGGATATATACCACTTCCAAGATTCTTCGGCCTTAGAAATCACCGTGAGAGACATTCAAACCGGTCACCGATTCTGTGTTTAATCATGCGTGCCAAATTGAAGCTCCGTTATACTGTGATATCGTCCTTTTTGGCCCAGATGGACGCAGTTTCGCACAAAAGTAGGAAACAATGGAGCACTGAGGAGATTCGACAGATTAGATGCTGAAAACCACCTATTGAGAAGGTGCTTATGCCATTCCCTCCACCAGGCCTTTACAACTGCGGACTCGACCCCCAACTTACAAGGTAAAGACTACTGCCTCAAATAACTCAGCTTATTCCAGATGGAATTTAAGCCAGCCTTGAAAGAAAGCCAACAATTTTTGCGTGACCATTACACATACAATGCTCTCGGACAGGGGCCAACAACACAGTTGGAGGTAATCTGTCTTCCTGAATCTCAAACCTAGTCTTCCTTTGCTGGCTTTCAAATCTCACCAGTGAGTTGCACTGGTAACCTGGACAAGGCGGTTTGGAAGATGGGCTCGCAGAAGACCGTGATAAGGTAGCTGATGAAGTAGCGAGGTCGATTCAAGTCGCATTATGGATTAAGTTTTCGACACTACAAGTCGGAGGTTGTCAACCTCACAGGACAAATCAAGCCTAGAACGGGCGCCCGGCTGCGACCTAAACAGTACTTCCGCATAGGCGTGGTCCGAGACATCGCCTGAATGGTGTCGAGTGCGTGCGGAGTGGAGCGCAGGTCGTGTGTGGCCCGCGCAGACGGGCCACTTAACCTTGTTAGCCGTTGTGTCTACGCCTATCCCAAGTTGGCCTGACTTCGTGTCACCATTTGGAAAATGAGGACGTATGTGGATGAGGTGAGGCTGATGCTGCGAGGTGCGCATTATCCCATCGATGATGGTGCTGGGCGAACTATCATAGGCCAACATCCCTTGAATTAGGGCAATTACTCGAGATAATCGGCATTCCTACACGGTTCCTCCCTCTCTACCACCTCCCTACTCCCCCGCAGACTGTCTCTAGCGTCCTAGTGAAAGGGAACGGAGGCTGGTGTGGCTTTTAAAGTCCTGATTCTATTTAAATAAAAGGATGGAGATCTTGTTCACATCTTGACTGAAGCCTTGTCTTACGGATGATTACAACTGCGCCTGAACCTGAGTTACAGCGCTTATGACTCTAGGTGGTGGAAGGGTGGAAAAATAACGTCTCGTCTTGTCGGAATTCATGGCCAGGAATTTAAAAGCTTTTAACGTATGTTAACACGTCAGCCGCCAGCCTATTGCATTGCATGGCAGCAATACTAGTTGCTAGTTGCTGTATTTGCGCGAGGTCTTTTGGTACAAACGGGCCCTGCTAGGATGCAACGGCGCACAACCCCGTCAACAGAAAGGTGGGCTGTGGGCAAGCCAGGAGAATTGGAAAAAATGTGGGCAATAGGTATGATGTTATGGTGAAAAATTACAAAAACCCCTTTTTTCACAAGGAGCGTTTAAATGCGCCCCAATTCGTTGCTAAAACAGCCCAGATATGTGGCGGTACCTAGTGATTTCACTTGGACGTTCTAGAATATCGTTCAAACCGGAGACGCAGAGTACACAAAAACATTTGTCCACTGGTTGTATATATATATATATATATATATATATATATATGTTGGAAAGGTAATACCGACAAAGACAAGGGAGACCGGAATGGCCATTTCTGGCTTATTAGCCGTCATCAGCCAGTCATACCCAACCCCAAGTGTGGATCACTTGAGATTCGAACCCGGGATCTTTGGTCATGGAGTTGAACGCTCTACCATTGAGCCACGGGCCCGTTGTCCTGTCGGTTGTGATCGGGAATATTAATTATGATAGTGGGCGCTCACCGATCAGGTTACGGAACATGCTCGTTCCGTTGTGCCTTGGGGCTCATACTTAAACCCTCGCAGGCAGTCGCACAGCGACTAGTGATATATGTTGGAAAGGTAATACCGACAAAGACAAGGGAGACCGGAATGGCCATTTCTGGCTTATTAGCCGTCATCAGCCAGTCATACCCAACCCCAAGTGTGGATCACTTGAGATTCGAACCCGGGATCTTTGGTCATGGAGTTGAACGCTCTACCATTGAGCCACGGGCCCGTTGTCCTGTCGGTTGTGATCGGGAATATTAATTATGATAGTGGGCGCTCACCGATCAGGTTACGGAACATGCTCGTTCCGTTGTGCCTTGGGGCTCATACTTAAACCCTCNCTTGTATTCCCACTTTTAATCTATCTCCGATGATGCGCTCAAGCATGAGTGTGAAACGTCAGATGAATAAATCATCCTCCCCAGAGATCTCTTTACCTTCTTCCATATATATATATATATATATATATATATATATATATATATTAGTTGTAGTAGACCAACAGATGAATTGGAAAATAAGTAAAACAGGCAAGAAACACCCTATTTGTTAATGTGTTCAAATTCTTACTAAACAGAAGCTGAAAGCAGAAAAAGCAGCCACCGGGCCTCGACAGCAGATGAACGTAATTCACTTGACCAAGCACACACACGGTTGTGCGTAAAAAGGCGTGTTACCGTAGCTCGTTAGAAGCTCCTAGACGTGTATGGTAACAGACGGAATTTGCGGATTTCTACTTTCACGGGATAAAGATTATTGCACGTTAGACGGCAATGATGGGGCAAACAAGATGCAAGCTTTCAGTTCATCACCTGCCAATTCTAACGGAAAGGAAGAACTTCCCGTATCATATTCATCGTAGTACTTTTTCTGGTTTTAGAGAAGTGGGGACCTCTACCGAATACTTGCCTCATGTATTTGGTCGTTAAGAGATTAAATCCCACAATATTAAGACAGACGCTACTTTGAGCCACGAGATCGAGAATCGGCATAAAACGGCAAGTTATTTGGTTGTCACCAGTGTGAATGGAGATAAAGTCGATGGAACGAACATTCCAGTATAAAGCGAGTGAAGTTGTTAAGAGTAATAAAAATACATTATCGAAGAGAACAAGGAAGACCAGTGCGACTATTTCTGGCTTACTCGCCATCACCAATGAGACATAACTAAATACCGGGTTCTGAACCCGAGTCTGGTTAGTCACTGAGTCACTGGCTAAGATCTCAAATTCTGTTGTCCCGTTTACGTTTCATCTACTAACACCAGAGGGCGTCGGGTCCACAACACTTCCTGCATATGATATAGCCATGTCCTCAGAGTTGCTTAGTTGGCCACGATAATTGTGGCACCAAATAGGAGGGGAATTTAACGGCGTGCATGACTAAACCACCTGAGACGACGGCCTTTTACTTAACAATCACTAGGCAGTCCCATGCTTTAGAAGTGTCCGTGAACTAAACGTGTGGTTTTTCGGAGGTAGCAGTTCCCAAAACACCGTAATGGTTACCATGACAAACGTGTATAGAGGTCAACTTTTGCAACTGTAGAGCCGAAAGGCTTTGACTATAAGCACAGGAACTCGAGTGTCTCATCTGCTAAACTCCCATCCTCAATCGCAGTTACAATGCATCGTGTATGGCTTGTGTTTGACCGTTTGTCGCCACTCGCTACTGGTCATCGTTAGCACAAAGAGCTGTGAATAGTTCGGGACTTCCGTTATCCATGAAAGAGAACACCTTTGTGAAGAGTTGGATAGCACTCGGGTCTTTCTGGCCTCAGTTCGAGGCCGAATATGTAGGAGAAGATTTGGTCAAGAACAAACGGTGTGGTTGGAATGGAATCTCTAAGCAGAGTAGTGGCATCGATATACTCTAGGTCTGTGACACAAAAAGGTTTCAGCCTACCAGAAGTGTCGCGTTATTATGAAGTGGAGTGAACGGTACCGGGACTGGTGACAGCTGGAGAGCACCATCTTTCAGATTTGTACCTATGTGGCCAGATGCTGCAAAAGGCAGATGCCTAAGGTTTTTAGCAGAGATAAGTACGACGCACGCGAAATCTGTGTTCCTTTACACTGGGACTGTATCGTCAGATGGCTCATTCCTTTCAAGTCGCATGCCCGGTTTGTGAATAAGTAGGAAACCGTAGGACTGTCCACGCACTTACATGGGATATCTACGTCTCGACGTGCAGGATCATAAACAGAAAACAAACGGCCCTGGTTTATGAGTGTACTGGCCAGTACTGGGTCAGAGAGATGACTACCGAGACCAAATTCTAAAGTTTTGGTAGAAGCAATGACCAAGAGAAGCCTTGACAGAGGAAATGCTCCGAGTCCCCATGTTGCGGTTAAATTGTACTTGTACTTGGTATGGTTGCGATCATGCCTGATCTAACCGGTCTCGATGATGTCACGGACTGTACCTCTCCACGCGTGACGATCCGTGACAGCAGATCTGGACAGCTCACCCCACTCTCTTCGCCAACGACGGAGACTGAATGCCGGAGGTCCAAGAACCACCTCCATGTCTTGACGAACTATGTCGAACCATGCTTTGAGTTGACCCCCTCTTCGACGCCTCCAATGAGAAAACGGTGCCCGATCGAGGGCAGTAACACTGGGCTCCTGAGGTGGACGACGAAAAACATGCCCAAACCACCTCGTTCGTCTTTCTTGGATGGCCTGAGTTATTCTTGCGATGTTGTCGCAGCGAGCGCGGACTGTCTCATTTGAGACGAAGTCGGTGTACTTCACTCAAAAGATGGCCCTCAAGCAGCGGTAAAATACCTCTAGTTTTCCCTCTTCCTCCACACGCACAGCCCAGCATTCACAACCATAAAGAAGGACAGACCGAACAGATGCAAGGTACACGCGAATCCTAGTGGCGATGGAGATGTCGCGTCGGATAAATAGGCATTTTCTAAGGCTTGCAAAAACCCGGTAGGCAGCGTCAATCTAGGAGACAATGTCGTCCTTACTATGTCCATTCGGCAGCAGGCTCGCCCTGAGGTATTTAAAACTGTCTACTTCTTCAAGCTGACAGCCATAAATCCCGAGAGGTGCCTTATCCTGGTCGGTGATGCAGCTTGAAAACACATCAGTCTTCCCAGCGTTTATGGATAAACCGACCGATTTAACGACCAAGTTCACCCATGACACCATAGACTACAAATCAGCAGAACTTGAAGCAAGTAAGGCAATATCATCAGTATAGTCGAGATCAGTCAGTCGGTGTCCAGGTGGAAACTCAACACCGTCACCTTCGTGTAGGGTCCTCCCGAGACTCCAGTCAATAGGGTAGTTGAGCAGAATGGGCGACAGGATACAACTCTGTCAGACGTCAGACCGAATACCAAATGGTTGGGGAAGATTGTTGTGGACCAGTGCTCGCGCAGCAGTGGAGCGATAATAGGCCTTGACCATGGTGACGATGTTTGGCGGTACGGCATCTAGTGCAATTATTCGCCCTAGGGTCTCACGATGGACGGAATCGAACGCGGCGGTAAAGTCAACAAAGCAGACGGCCGTCAGTTGCTGGTAGCTGTGGCGAAATCCGAGAATGCGCCTTAGTGTGAATACCTGGTCCGCACATCCACGCCTAGCACGAAATCCGGTTTGGTTGGGCCTATCCTAGAGTCACGAACAACCTGGAATCGCCTGAGTAGGACAATAGCGAAGATCTTCGCAGAAACGTCAATGAGGCTTATGCCGCGGTAGTTCTTGCATCTTTTCTTATCTCCCTTCATTAGGATAGGTACAAGGATGGCTAAACCCCAGTCATCAGGAGCAACCTCGTCTCTCCACCCTTGATCAATCACCTCATGGGGCCAGGGCGTCGGAGTGTCGACACAAGACTTGTAGATTCCAGCGGGATTACCATCCTCCCCGGGGTGCCTTTTTGTTGCGTAGCTTTCGTATAGCATCGGCGACTTCTTCAGAAGGGGGGTCGCATGGCACTGCATCGGTTGGAGAGAGAAGAAACTGCGCTGCAGAGGATAGCAAGGGCGTGGTGGGTCGGGTAGCGAAGTTGAGATGGTGCCGAAGTGCTCACACCAGAGCTCGACTTTGGCCGAGTTGTCAGCAATAAAGCCGCCATTCACGTTGCGAACAGAGTCACTCAGTGTAAAGCGCTTGCCATTAACTTGGCGAAAAAGTCATCATGAATCCCTAAAGTGGAGTCCATATGGGGCAATGCTAATCAGTACTCTAAGCACATTGGCATACGTGGAGCACGCTTACACTACGGATATGCGGAGCGCAGGAAGTTTAACTAGGGGGGGGTCGTATACCAGATTATCAAGGAAGAAATTGGCATGCTGGGTGGTTGATAAGAGGTTCCATTATAATTTTCAAGATAAGAGTCTATGTATGAATTGTGTGTTTCGGACAGACACTGGCAGCACACAACAGGAGTTAGTGCCAAGCGGCCAGATATAAAACCCCATGGTCAAGATAATGGCACTAAAGAACTGTGTTACGTGCCCAAACGACGGCTTTGAAGCCAGTAATAATAAGATCCACAGGATTTTTACTGGCCAAATCCCGCGTACTGCATGCCAATGGGGCGTTTAACAGCTCCGCACTTGCTAAATACGCCCGACAGAAGGGGAACGAAGTCAAGATAAGTAGGGCATAAGGTATAAGGCACGTAAGGATCTCACAGGACTGATCAACAAAATCTGCCACCGATATGCCGCAAGAGAGATTCGTGGCATTCGCCGACTCCTGCAGGACATACAGATACTGCGTGAGCATGTAACAATATGCCGAGCGCCTCCTTGTGCGAACGATCTGGACTGTACAGGGACGTCGAAATCCTCATAAATGTGGGATTGAAAGTAATTAAAGAATTCCAAACCTATGCGTATGCATAGTCATGGGACCAAGCCAAACCTCCCTTTCCTAAAAAGCCCTTGACGTTAGATGCGATTGGGACGAAAGAGCTCACGAGTTAGGAGTCAATACAGTTACAGCGGAGTCGGGCTGCCCAATAAACTTTAATACTAGTAGCACAATGTAAATAAGAGCTACGAAAATGTTTCGGGAAGGATAGGTGTATAATGAGGCCATGACGTCGACTCGTAGTTCGAAATTAGTCGAATGTGACTTCGAAGTCTGATATAAAAGGTAGATGAGCTGACGCCACAACAGAAAATATAATTCGAAAGATCACATTATTTTCTTCTACTATGCACGAAAAACTGACAATGCCAGCTCGTGTTATGACTTGTCTAAGATATGCGACGAAATGCTCTCGAATTCCCCGTTGCTTTTTAAAAAGCAGTAACGGCAAATAGAAAATTAACTACCTGGATGTCTTGGACATCAACATTGACGCCAGGGGACTCCAACTTTGATTGTAGAAGCAGCAATTCCCCTTGAGCAGCCATTTGGAAGATGGAGAGCTCATGAACAACGTCAAAATTCAGTGTTTGCACATTCCGGCGCTGCAAATTTGTGAGCACCGTTGAAACCTTGCCAGGAGAAGCTCCGCTGATGTTTTCTAGGTTCTTTTTCGTCAAGAACGCAGGAGGCGGCACAACAACGCGACATGACATATCGACGGGCCCTCAGGCTAAAGGTGTAGGAATAATAATTCTCAAATTTCAAGTTCAGCGGTACTTAAAGTGCGAGACATAACATCGCACTGGGCGGAGGTGTTGCACTGTATCAGATATTATCAGCTGCCAATTCTTTTTATGAAGTTGGGGCTGGTCTGAGCATGTAAATTATTGGCATTTAAGTCGAAATTGCGTGAGCACGTTATCTCGGAAATTTCGAAGTCAATATCGTTCGCCTCAGTTGCCAACACTCAAATTGTGGACTATGAAAAGTGTTTCCTTCGAATTCAATGGTTGATATTACCTGCTTAACTTATTCGGCTGGGTACTACCACTTAAATCTGCACAAACCCTTGCCTTTAGTGAGGTGTTATATCAATTGATATTCTTCCCTGCAGAGATGATTTTCAAAGCCTTTAACATTCGATCCTCGTCCCTCCCTTATGCGAGCATTTAATGATCAAAGAGTGTTCCTCAGTCTTTTCACCTTACTGGTGACTTTTTTTGTCAGCAAAGAAGTATCATAATCGCATTTATCCGCACTTTGGTGATCTACGAGGCCTCTTAGTGTTTTCTCCTTGCTCTTACTTGTACTTGTACTTGATACGGCTGCGATCATGCCTGATCTAGCCGGCCTCGATGATGTCCCGACTTGTACCTCTCCACGCATGACGATCCGCGGCAACAGATCTAGACAGCTCACCCATTCCCTTCGCCAACGACGGAGACCGAATACCGAAGGTCCAAGAACCACCTCCATGTCTTGACGGACAGTGTCGAGCCAGGTTTTGAACTGACCCCCTCTTCGACGCCTCCAATGGGGCAACGGTGCGGGATCGAGGGCAGTAACACTGAGCTCCCGAGATGGACGACGAAGAACATGCCCGAACCACCTCAGTCGTCTTTCTTGGATGGCCTGAGTTATCCTCGCGATGTTGTCGCAGCGAGCGCGGACTGTCTCATTTGAGACGAAGTCGGTTAACTTCACTCGAAGGATGATCCTCAAGCAGTGGTGGTCAAATACCTCCAGTTTTCGCTCATCCGCCACGCGCAAAGCCCAGCATTCACAACCGTAGAGAAGGACAGACCGGACAGATGCACGGTACACGCGAATCTTAGTGGCGATGGAGAGGTCACGTCCGTTCCACAGGCATTTCCGAAGGCTTGAAAAAACCCAGCGGGCAGCCTCGATTCGGGAGACAATGTCGTCCTTACTCTGTCCATTAGGCAGCAGCCGCGCCCCGAGGTATTTAAAACTGTCCACTTCTTCAAGTTGACAGCCATCAATCCCCAGGGGTGCCTTCTCCTGGTCAGGGATGCAGCTTGAGAATACTTTGGTCTTCCCAGCGTTTATGGACAAACCGACTGATTTAGCGACCTCGTTCACTCGGGACACCATAGACTGCAGATCACCAAAACTTGAAGCAAGTAAGGCGATATCATCGGCATAGTCGAGATCAGTCAGTCGATGTCCGGGTGCAAATTCAACACCGTCACTGTCGCGTAGGGCCCTCCCGAGGATCCAGTCAATAGCGTAGTTGAACAGTATGGGTGACAGGATACAACCCTGTCGGACGCCAGACCGAATACCGAACGGTTGGGAAAAATTGTTACGGACCAGGACTCTCGCTGTAGTGGAACGATAGTAGGCCTTGATCATGGCGATGATTTTGGCCGGTACACCATCTAGCGCCATTATCCGCCACAGGGACTCACGGTGAACGGAATCGAACGCGGCGGCAAAGTCAACGAAGCAAACGGCCGTCGGTTGTTGGTAGCTATGGCGAAATTCGAGAATGCTCCTCAGTGGGAAATATCTGATCTGCGCATCCACGTCCAGCACGAAATCCGGCTTGGTTGGGCTTCGTCCTTGAGTCACGCACAGCCTGGAATCGTCTGAGTAGGACAATAGCGAAGATCTTCGCAGCAACATCGATGAGACTTATGCCGCGGTAGTTCTCGCATCTCGTCTTATCTCCCTTCTTGTGAATAGGTACAAGGATGCCTAAGCCACAGTCATCAGGAACAACCTCGTCTCTCCACTCTCGTTCAATCACCTCATGGAGACAGGGCGCCAGAGTGTCAACACAAGACTTAAAGATTTCAGCGGTTATACCGTCCTCTCCGGGTGCCTTATTGTTGCGCAACTTTCGTATGGCATCGGCGACTTCTTCCTCGGAGGGGGGATCGCATGGCACTGCATAGGTAGGTGAGGGAAGAAACTGCGCTGCAGAGGATAGCAAGGGCGTGGTGGGTTGGGTATCGAAGTTGAGATGGTGCTCAAAGTGCTCACGCCAGCGCTCGACTTTGGCCGAGTTGTCAGCAATAAAGCCGCCGTTCACATCGCGAACAGAGTCACTCAGTGTAGAGGGCTTATCGCTAACTTGGCGGATCAGACGGTAGAGCTTTCGAGTGTCACCAACGTTCGAGGCCTGTTCCATGGATGTCGCTATTTCAGCCCAATATTGTTTCCGGTCATCCCTGGCCGATTTTGCCGTCATCTTCCGAAGTTGGCGGAAGTAGTCATCGTTGCGGGACCTGGCTCTAGCCGTCTGAGCAGACAACTCCAGGGTTCTTCCGCTGATCCAGTCACTGCGGCGTCGCTGGGTGTATCCAAGGATTTTCTCAGCTGCCCCATAGACTGATGTCTTCAGTGACGACCACTGGTTACTGACTTCTCCGTCGACTCGGGCCGTAAAACAGGTCCGGATTTCTCTGCTTAGGGCCTCGGCAGTGCTGGCTTGCCGGATTTTTGAGACATTGAGGCGTCTAGGACGTGGCATTTTTGGTGCGGATGAGAGGTGAACTTTCAGGCGTGTACGGACGAGGACATGGTCCGACCCATGGGCGTTACCAGTCTCGGCACCACGCATCGATCTGCTATCGTGAACCCAGCTGCGGAACCTTGAGCTGACTAGTATGTAGTCAGTTTGACTGGCCGTACGACCGTCGTTTGAATACCAGGTCAGCAGATGTTTTTTGCGATGCTGGAAGCATGTGTTGGTGACAAGCAGTCGGTTTCGATCAGCGAAGTTCAGCAATCTCTCACCATTTTCACATCGAGAACCAAGCCCAAAGCGGCCAAGAAGAAGACTGGTTGTGGGGTCGCCAGGTCCAGTTCGACCATTCCAATCGCCAGCAACAATCAGCAGATCGCGGCGAGGCAGTCTTTCAACTAGCGCTTGCAACTGAGAGTAAAACGCCTCTTTATCGCGCTGTTCGGCAGCCGAAGTTGGTGCGTACACAGCGACGATGGAGATGTTCGTGAAGTGACCCTTCAGTCGCACGTAGGCCATCCGGTCATTTACTGGTTCCCAAGCAAGTAGCGTAAGCTCCGCTTGTTGTGATAAGGCGATCGCCACACCGTGTCGACCAGAGGAATCGCGGGGGCCGCTGTGGTACAGGGTGAAGTGGGATTCGACTGCCGGGATCTTTATTTCACGAGAGCCCGAGTCAGGGAGTCGTACCTCAGACAGACAGCAGACATCCACGTTGTACTGATGAGGGCTGCGTGCGGTCAGACTTTGGGTACCAGGGTCCAGGAACGTTCGTACATTCCAGCATCCAATACCCAAAGTCCTTCCACGATTGAGTAGTCCAGCTCGCATACTATTCGCCCGCACCACTGGACTAGGGTTGCGGAGCGCGTCGGTTCCCGCGGACGCCGTAGCATGGGTCGTAGTACTGTTATTGGACATGCTGCATGAGGTTTCTTGGGAATTTCGAATACGGGCGGGTCCCCAACAGCCGCTCGGATTGTTTGTTCGAGGTTGTCTCCTCTAGCGCTTTGGCTTAAAAACCTAACCACAAGGCAGCGGTGGCAAGTAAACTTATTTAATGGCGGTTTACTGTCGCCATCTCCTTGCTCTGAATCAAAACAGACAGTGGAAGGTGGTGGTTGTCTCTTCGTGTTTTGCCAACGGCGCGAACAACCCCATCCGGCTTAGAACGTTCGCCCTGACGAAGAACGTTCCAAACTCTTATATGCTCTCAGCTGCATGGGGTTCCTGTTTCACGTGCCTATCTTCCTTCCCATGAAAGACGGATTTTTCCTTAAGAACTGTCAGAGCATATTAATTTTGAGTGTTTTCCAACATGTTTTTGAGGGAGTTTTCTTTTAACGTTGCTTATTTTTCACACCTGACTGCCTATTATAATCATTGACTGGACGCCATGCAGGTCCGATTATTCGTTCCGAGATTCATATGCGTGTGTCTTTTTAACGCACTTATAGTTTATTATGACAGTTTCCTGATTTGTGCAAAATAAAACTGTTTATTTATTGTACTGTTTAGCTTTTTGCTGAGTACTACTGAAAGTACTAGGCAGTTTGCAAATTGTGCGTTCTTCTACGAAACACTGATAAGTTAAATTTATAGGTCGCAATGCTTCCAGAAGGTGACAGGGACTCTCACATATGACTTACCTGACAATGTCCAAATCGGTTTTTGATGAAACCACCCATGTTTGACCGATATGCTCTATTCGGTGCAGCAGTGGATTTGCGCATTAGACAAAACACAGCAGTCGACTTTAATAAGACATTCCATGATTTTTTACACCGCCGTTTACTCTACGAGGGCTGATCGTCTGGAATAAGAGAAAACCCCTTTGATTCGATAGGGAACTTCTATATCGGCCGATCACAGTCTGCATTTATTGACAATGAAAAAATCAGTGTCAGTGCCCGCTGAAAATTAAGTATCTTAATGTACCGTTCTATGACAATTACTTCTTTAATGATGTCAACAAATGCACGGGAAGACTTAACTGCAAGAGAATCATGTTTGCAACCGGCATCACCATATGGCAAGCGATCGAATGCAATAAAGTTGAACGGACTTTGCTAGGAGCCCTTAACCGTTCTTTCGGAATGGTCTGATAAATGGCTGTTGAAGTTTAACCTTGACAAGTGCATAGCAAACACACTCCAAACGAAAAGACGAGCGTAAAGGAAGACTCGAATCACTATTTAATAATCTCTGTAAAACTCCTCCCAGTATGTAACGACTGCCAAAAGAGCGAGAAGCGTTCTCTTCTTCATGAAGAGAACATTTATTGATAATATACGGAGATGTTTAAAAAGTCTGCAGGGCCTTTATCCGTTCGCCACTAAAAAGGAAATTCGGGCGAAGCGCCACTGGTTAAAAAGATTATAAGCCGTTAGAAATGGTTCAAAAGAGGATAATAAAAGCCAAGATAGACGTTAACCCCTTATTACAAAAATGCGGATTTTATGCATCTTATTTAGTCTACTCAGTGTACAGGCAGTTCCGAAGGGGATCAAATACAGCCGTCAGTAATGTAAGGGATTAGAAATATACACTAAACTTCTATGATTTCCCCACATTGGCTACAATAGAAAAACCTCAGAGGGAGCCTTATCCAAATTTGGAGAACCTTACCCCACCTGCCCGATGTTCGGTATAACTATTCGCTGTGGGTTGTGGGTGTCTGGAACGAACTTCCTGGAGTCGTAATGACCGCAGACATAACAGAGGCATTTGAACAAACAGTGGGCTATATTTAATTGAAGGTGTTACCCAGTCAGACAGAAAAGCTCTGTTACAGCAAGTCTACACTTTCCTTATACCTAGCGCTGACGTGGATCTAAATTTATCATTACACGCTATTCTCAACACTTGCTAGATTTCTCCGGGTTTCAACTCATGCCGTTATACTAGTACTTTTCAAGACGTATACGCCACTGAAGACATTGCTGTAGCGTGCGAATTTGGACTTAAATACCGCGTGTAATAGAAGACGAAGGCATGATCACTGGGACGGTAGATAAATTGGCCTTAGCTTTCGAACTCGAACTGGAGTTCATCATCAGAGACTACTAGAGTGCAGCAACATGTGAACATTTATATCGTTGTGTCGTGAGGGGGGACTACGCCCGTGGCTAGGTCTGGTTTGTGTTGCCTGGCCCACAATGGTCTCCGGCTTGGTGACGGTGTTTGTACTTCGCCGCGATGTGAGCTGCGCCACCTGGCTGCGTGGGCGGAGTGCGTGATAACACGCAGGCAAATCAGTGTGTTTATTGATAGATTTGGTGCCTGACACACATGCTTCCAACAGTTCTCGCCCCCTCTCGCTGCCAGCTCGCGCCAGTATCCGCGTGTTGGAGAATTCGAATTCATGGCATTCCTCCAGCGTGTGAATGGCGACCTGAGATAGTGGGTCGGCTCTCAGAACGACCCGTTTGTGCTCAAGTCTTCGTGAGATGAGGCGTCGTCCTGTTTGGCCTGTGTAGTGGCAAGGAAAGTTATGGCACGGGCTTTGGTAGACGACGCCCGACTGTACACTTGCGTCCAGCCGATCTCCCATTTTCATGATTCTGCTACGCATGGTAGCCGCCGGATGATGAGCGATGCGCACGCCTAACTCTGACGCAATGCGTTCTGTGGCCTCGGACACATTTTTTAAGTACAGTAGGGAGTGCCAAATTGTTGGCGTCTCTCTTCCTTTTGTCCGTCGTGGTCCTAGAAGAGCTGGAAAAGGTTGTTTTCAGTCACTACAAAGGCGCGTTTTTGGTGCCGATACGTGGGTGATACATTCATCATTATTGAAAAGGACAGGCTATCGAGTTTTCAAGACCTGCTTAACAGCATATTAACCGACAGTTAGTTTACAAGAGAAGACGAGGAGGCCGAGAAACTACCCTTTCTTGACGTGCTCGTCACGTGCACGCCTGATGGTAAGCTCATCACTACAGTGTACAGAAAGCCGACCAATGCAACAGCAGGAGAACAGTCGGGCGTAGTCTACCAAAGCCCGTGCCATAACTTTCCTTGCCACTACACAGGCCAAACAGGACGACGCCTCATCTCACGAAGACTTGAGCACAAACGGGTCGTTCTGAGAGCCGACCCACTATCTCAGGTCGCCATTCACACGCTGGAGGAATGCCATGAATTCGAATTCTCCAACACGCGGATACTGGCGCGAGCTGGCAGCGAGAGGGGGCGAGAACTGTTGGAAGCATGTGTGTCAGGCACCAAATCTATCAATAAACACACTGATTTGCCTGCGTGTTATCACGCACTCCGCCCACGCAGCCAGGTGGCGCAGCTCACATCGCGGCGAAGTACAAACACCGTCACCAAGCCGGAGACCATTGTGGGCCAGGCAACACAAACCAGACCTAGCCACGGGCGTAGTCCCCCCTCACGACACAACGATATAAATGTTCACATGTTGCTGCACTCTAGTAGTCTCTGATGATGAACTCCAGTTCGAGTTCGAAAGCTAAGGCCAATTTATCTACCGTCCCAGTGATCATGCCTTCGTCTTCTATTACACGCGGTATTTAAGTCCAAATTCGCACGCTACAGCAATGTCTTCAGTGGCGTATACGTCTTGAAAAGTACTAGTATAACGGCATGAGTTGAAACCCGGAGAAATCTAGCAAGTGTTGAGAATAGCGTGTAATGATAAATTTAGATCCACGTCAGCGCTAGGTATAAGGAAAGTGTAGACTTGCTGTAACAGAGCTTTTCTGTCTGACTGGGTAACACCTTCAATTAAATATAGCCCACTTTTTGTAAGATGGGCGGATAAAAAGCTAATGGAAAATTCAAGCGGCTTCCGTCTCAATTTTTATTTTTGTACCAAGAAGATGAGGCACAGGAGAATCCCAAGACCTGGACTTGAAATATCCACGAGGCACGTATTCTGCGATCGTTTTGGAAACATTGGACATGACGTAGCGAAGAATGGTTGCATCACTACAGGAGAGATAAACCACGTAATCCAATGACCCAATTTAGTTATTTATTAGATCGTTGTCCGCGGAGTCTTAATTTAGGTGGGTACGAACTCTTTGAAAAGACAAGTCGTAGGCAATACTGAATTAATACGTGGTCACAATCAGCAAGGTCATTTTGAAAGCAAATGAGAGTATCAATGTAATTGGCAAAGACTAGATCTAAAATGTGATCATCTCTTGCTGGACAGCGCACAAGCTAAGACCAGTTAAAAGAATTCGCAATATCTTGGATAAGCTGAAATTTAGGAGGACAGCTACTCGAAAACCAGTCTATTTCAGGAAAGGTAACATTTCCAGTGATTATGTTAATATCGAAGTCAGATTTCGAAATGAATTTAAAGGTTTCACAAAGCTGCGTATCACCACTGGCTGTAGAGTTTGGGGAATTGTGGATAGTCAGTTTAAGTCAGTTTATTAAGGGAATAAGGCTTTCGCCCTTGAGCACCCTATTCATGTCGATAAACAGAAATAAAGTCATCAATTACATCAGCAAATGCGAAACGTTAAGAAGTTAGCGGTAACTGTGAGCCAGGCGCAACTGCCGCCGCTAAAACAATCATGATTGTATGTACAGTAGGTTCTCAACAAGTGAGCGTCTAGTCTGCACTTAAAGGATTTAACACTTTCGGAAAGAACGACGGCAACATTTATTTATTTATTTTCTTCGCGTCGAAAGAATAATAGATGCGAAGCAAAAGATTCTCGAAAATGAGGAAAAAATTTAGAGCATAGGGAGAGTGCTTTGGGGAAGATTTAAGATAAACAAGGCAACCGCCCCATGCTCAGTTGTGCGTTCTTAACGGTAGAAATCAAAGTCATCTATAAAAGGGGAGGAGCCAGGAATTAGAGGATGGGCCCAGGATTTTGTTATGCATATGGGTGCAATGGTTCTGGTCCGGAACATCATGTCTATAACAGACCTTGCTT